CGAACCCAAGACCTGTAGATTACAAGTCAACTGCTTAAACTACTGAGCCACCGACGGTCACTATATGGATACATAGAACCGTATTTACGTAACCGCAAAAGACATTATCCTCCAGTCAGTAGGGTAACTAATTCTATCATCCCATATAATATGTATTAGTGAAACTGTAAAGGTAAATTGCATTAGTCAATACGAACATTGTCTTGGCAACAGTTCAGTGCCTCGTTTCCATAACAAAGCAGTAATTTTATTCGCAGATAAATACAGAAAATACGACACACACATTCTCGGTTACAACGTGTTATCAGTTTTAAAACTTTTCGTTTGTATGAACGCTTGTATGACACAAATAAAAGTTAGACGACTCTTGAAATAACTGGATTTAAGTATTAGTGGTCTCATATTATTGAATTTATGTCTTCTTAAATTGCTCGTAACTTGAGCTTTCGTAGTCGATTGCTACAGTGCGCTACGCCTGCTACAAAACCACAAAATAATTATAACATTTGCTTATTCGATTATAACGGAAGCGATAAAAAGTTTTTACAGCTTAATGCAATTCTCAAATAGTAAAAATCTTGGCATTACGGAAACATACGAGTAGGAATTGCGAGTGGAACGTATCTGGAGCAATTTGTCAGACTTACGTTGGTAGGGTGTGCTCAGGTGGTACTTCATTGGCCTCATATTTTATGAAAAGATATTATAATGACATACGATTTGGGAAACTAATTCTATCCATGCATCTACCTATATATACTCACAAGGTTATGTACATAAATGTATATAAACGATATAGAAATCTATAATTGTTTTATTATTAAGTCCCTTAGCCACATTTTATTACAGTACATTGTAAATCTCATAAGAAATATTGAATTATTGTTTTTATTGATTATTATTTATATGGTATTGACTTTGGTTGTACCGATATCGTTTTTATTTTGTTTTTTCCTTACCTTACGTAGTATTGCGATGCAAGTACAGTCATATTTAGAACTAGTAAATTCACATGTTTATATTTAAATTTCTGTTTGAAATGTAATGTATTTAACAAAGCAAAAAGCGTAGTTACAGGCGCTTTGAGTTAAATTTAACGAAAAGAATTTTTAAACAAAATACAAAAATGAAGACATGTTTTTATGCGCAGATCAAAAGTCTTTTAGCTGTGCACAAAATACATTTAAAAATATATTACAAATGTTGCTTTACGCGTTTAGCAAAAATAATACAACACCGCCAGGTCCTACGTACTTTAGTGAAAGCGAAGAAAATCCTCCGTCAGCAGAAGCTTTTTCACGACTTAAAATTTTTGTTCGTATTTTGTTTACTTTAAAATTGAATAAAATATGTCAAATACAGTATAGTTTATTAAGAGTTTTAAGAAGTTCGTTTAAGAGTACAGAGACTCTTATTTGATAGGAATTTGCTTCAGCCAGCACACAAATGATAGAATAAATAATGTTTATTTTTTACTCAACATAACACTGTTCTTCTCTCTATTTCGAACAATTGAATTCAATATTAAACATATGTCATATTTAAATTATTCTACGAGTAAAGAGCCAGTCTTACAATGCAACCTGTCTTATACAAAGCAGGTCTCATTTACAACATTATTAGTGTTGATGGGTTTTTACCGAAAAGATTTGTTTACCAAGATTCATTGTTCTAAAACATTTTTATATTGGTTACATAAATGGTTTCGTGAAACCGAAAATACTTTTTCCTAAACATTTAAATCTAAAAAAAAAATATTTTTAGCAATTATTTATTAACGCCTATCAATATTAACTTAGCAATATTTTTTCTATGCATTATAGTTGCGTGTAGGAATTTAAAAATTAACATTATCTTTCTAGACTAATTAGTGGAATATCTCTCCTTTGTCTAGTATTAATATATTGTGTTCTCGCACGCAGGTGTTTATAAATTACGTGCATTATCTCCGCTGAGGAGTTTGAGGGATAATGTTGTAATTACGCCCGAAAGAGGCGGTGATTAAATTTTACCGAGTGAGCTAAGAGCCTTCATTACCTTTAAAAGTAAGTCACAATATGCTGCATTATTAACATTTCATTAAGCGCCTACTTAACAGAGACATTTTGTTCTGTGTGTTAAATTGAACAGTTTAATTTTTGTTAAGAATCCGACATCTTGAGGTATGCACTGAATATTTGTAATGTTACGAGGCGTTCGCATCGAGCAATCTTGTTCGCTGGTATCCTTGTAACGGTTTACATTATTACGTGGTATTCCACGCTATATCGATCATTACGCACCGAAAACATTCTTTGTTATTTATTTTTTTTTACTTTTACCCATTACTGGTGCGTGATTAAATAATTCTTATGTGCTCAAATTTTATGGAATTTTGTTTCATAGACTACTAATAATATTCTGTCATGCAAATTTAAAAATATTCGTGACATCTCTCTGGAAGCAATGGCTACATATTGCAGATGGAAAAGAGGCGGTAGGTTATTATTCATTAAATTTAATCAAAGAAATATATTAACATGAAAAAAGGAAATATCGGAGAGCCAGACATGTTATATTAGCAATGCAAAAACAACTTGACTTAATAACTTAGCACCCGACGAATAATAAAAAGTTTACTGAAACAGAGGTCTCAATGAAAGGATTTTTAGAATAAACATCATTTTATAAAGGCGAAGTCAAAATAACTGAGGTGAGTTTGGCGCCAATTTAACTACCATACGCTGAATTTAATGCAGGTTAAAATTTATAATTGTTGGTTTCCGCAATCAAAATACTTGTTTAAAAACTTATTAGCATTCCTTTAAATTTACTCTTCTATATTGTTATGATGCAAAAAAATGGAATGTAGAAAGAAAACAGTACTACTAAGTCATAAAAGATGAAAATTACACGTTAGATAAATCATTGGATTGTGTTTTGTCACATTTGGTGGGAACATATAATTTAAATTTCATATCCCTGGCTCAATGCGGGTAACCGGGCGCATTTTTATTCTCCCGCACTAGTGGGTAGTTGTGAATCCCCCCAGTACGCTCGGTACGCTCGGGCTCGCATGCAAGCAGCCCAACGAGTCGGTTGGTTTTACAAATGTGCGAATTCAAAGGTGCATATGGGTGCACCTGCGGGTAGCATTGCTGACGCTTCTAGACTTGACACACGGAGAGGAGGAGACCGAGTAGGTAAGCACCACTATATCCGCCATCACCCCCTTGTTTACAATGTTATGCCCTGCGGTGCATGCGTAGTTTAAAGGTAGGTTGTACTGCGGGATCCGAACCCATCGTTTTCGTCACAGATAGCAACGACAATCGTTTTAACTATTTGGAGCAATTCTTTCGTTAGTACTAAAACAATGTACAAGTAATATATGATGTTTTGGTTATTTTCTTCCCGTAACCGTAATAATAAATAAAAAGAGGATACGTGGTAAACGAGATGTAAATTATTTTAGAGGCTACAAGAGACCACTAGTAACTAGTGCAATTGTTTTTCTAATTTACGCATTCTGGTTTCGCGAAACCTGGAATGCGTTGCAATATTTCCACGTTCATTCACATTGATATGTTCGTGCAATTTCCTCTTACGTACACGGGTGGGTTCTATAATACGTAATATAATAAGCGCATAAGCAAAAAAAAAAGACATTAAGCTCAGTTTGGTCTATGCACATACGCATTTTTGCAATATAGGATACAGTCAGCTGAATAAATACGTGCATATTTATAATACTTCAAAAACTCTTTGTTTGATTTTAAAAATACACATGCTTGTGTTCGTCAATATCAATCAACAATGGTTGGAATACTTGAACGAATTAAAAGATGTGTAGGCTTTTATTTTACATTGCATTAATTTTTAATAAGCGGTTTTACCAGATACTAAAATTGTATACATTTTCGTTTGTGGTTCTCGTTTAAGCTTTGAAACTGAGCTGCGTTTTGTTTACGTTTTACTTTATTTCCCTTTTATGTTAGTTATTACATATGTTAGCTACACGTTTACGGTTTTAAAACCTTTTAAATTTTTATATGAAAATGTGCATTTACAATACAGATTAAATTCTATTTTCAGTTTTTCAGACAGCGCTTCACTTTTTGAACATACAAACTGTTTTAAGAAAATGTATTAACGACCAACGTTATTTTAATCCTATATATTACTAGCTTTATGTCACCGTAAAATAATGAACATCGTTTATTACAAAATTCGCTAGTGAAATTGTAAATTAAATAATTTACATCGCAGTTTCTTAAGTATTATTCTGAACATTCAAGTATTTCGACATCAATTCGTCTCAATATAAACACATATTTTGTTTGTTTTATTCTTAAATTATTAGTATTTTTGCTACGACTACGATACATACAACATATTGGATACATTCACAATGTAATGTTGATTCTTTATTTCGTAATTTTTGGACTTAATATAAACTCTGGTGCTCAGTTTGAACATATTTAATTCGTTTAAATTACATTTTGCTTGCTTTAAATAAATGGATTAACAATAAATGGGTGATGTTTGTTCAATAGTGATATACGTCGGACGCTAATGCTAGTGATGTCCAAAACTAGAAATCCAAACGAAGGTGACACAAGTGCCGACATTGATTGTTAATGAAATAAAGGATTATATAAAGATATATTAAAACCTAATTGACTATATTTAAAACAGGAATTATGATATTTTCTTGCAATGTGATACGACAGTGGATTTACAATGCTATGCAAATTTTTAATTTCCGTGTAAATGATAATTTACAATAGCGTATAAAAAGATGAGTGCTTTAATAAAATAAATCAAGAAATCGAAATCAGTAATATATTTAATAAGGAAAATCTGACTTGGTTTTCAGACGATATACTCCGCTCCTGAAAATAAAAGTAACTCAATGTAGACACCTAATATTAATATGTGAGATTTTATTAATTATTTAACTAGCTCAAAGTGTAAAACAAACAATATGGTTCAAATAGCGATTAAAAATGTAATTTTGCTTACCCAGTTTTCATTAATTCCTGGTTCCCAAAATTCAACGTCGCTCCGTAACACATATCGAGTGTGAACTGCAAAAGCGACGAGCATTGGTAGCCAACCAAATTATCAAAAATGATCGAACTAGCGAAAATTTTCCAAGATCGTTCGTGACTACAAATATCCGTGAGACAACCAGGTTGATCGAAACCACCGTTCGCGTAGAAATCAGTTCTAGCGACTGTTTCGAGGATTCCGAAAAATCCAGCATTTGTATGAAGGGCCTCGACGTAAATTGCATCATTTTCACTCAGCCGCTTGCTATTCAAACTCCATAATGGACCAGCCGGATCTAGACCTAATAACAAATAACATAGAGTTTAAATTTAAACAGCTGAAGGTACAACAGGAAACTTTTGATGATAGTCCAGCAAAGCTGCCACAGGAGTTGATGTATTAATAACGATAGTATAAGCCTCTTAGCTTATAACGGTACACGTGCAGTGTTGTAGTAATGTGTAACGATGCGAGCTTGTGTGTATTATTAACATTATCCGTACTGGCTCCTAGACTAGACTAAAAAAACACGCACAAAGAGGTTTATCTCTACATGAGTCTCTAATACACCTCATATAATCTGGAATTAACTATAACTACTTTACATATTTATTTATGTGTTTTAACAACATTTAAAAAACTTAACTATGTCCTGACCCCATTTTACACTACGATGTAGTCTAATATTCCTAAATATAATCTATAATTAATATTAACAGTGGTAGTGCCCTCTTTAACATCTTAGCACGAACGGGCCGGCACGCCAGGTGTGGTACCACGACCACACAGAAGACAGGCGTGAAATGGAAGTAATTCCGTGTTTCGTCTGAGGAGTGTGGTACGGGAGGCCTAATTTAAGTCCCTTTCTCGTTACTACCCTTTATTTATAAGGAGAGGATGGAAACGGGAAGTGGATTTGGCGGTGGAGGAGATGCATAGGAAGGGGAAATATCCTCTTTATGTGCGTCTCCTCCTCTGTCGGATAAGGGTAGGCAACGCATCTGCTATTACGGATGTCTGTGGGCAGCGGTCGCTTCGCCATTTTGGCGGATTCAGGTGGACGCATGTTCGTTTGCCACCTTATGTTATAAAAAATGTGTTTTTATTAAAGCTATTGAATTAAAAAGATTTTAAGAAAACATTAAAAACAATATTAGTTTACTTGATTGTTTTTTTTATAACAACTATCTGTTATCCCCTTTTATAAAGTCGATGTTTTTCTGTTTTTCTAGAGTTCAGTTATTACTTAGTAGTCTTAAAATAATATTTCCTAGCAGCGCTAACAATGAACTTATCGTATTTCTCTTGTTGATTGTTTTGCTTTAAGGGTAGTTACCGTAGTTTATCGAGAATAACAACTCATAAAATACATGTTTTGTTTCAGAGAGTTCTAGAGTTTTTTTTAAGTTTGTTTATTCTTATTGCAACTGTATGTAGAGATAATTCTAGTGGTTTTAATTAATTTTTAGGGGCTCAAATTATCTGAAATAAGTGACAAAAGAAAAAATTATGTCGATGGAAAATATAAAAATGATAAAAAAGCAAGTTAAGTTTTTTTTTTTTTTATGAATGTGCGATAAATTGTAACAACTAGATACTATAAATATTACCTGTTATACGACCAATTCGTCCTCCAAGTTCTTTCCCAGCATTTCCCACAACATGTGCACCCAAACTGTGTCCTACTAAATGTAGTGTACTTATGGAAACATTAGTGACAGAAGTCAAAAATGATAGGAATTTGCCCAAATATCTACCGACTCTAGGCACGCCCTCTACCGATGTTATGTAGTCTTTGTCAGCGACTCTACTCCAGTCTAGAACTATCACATTGTAATCTCCAATCATGGTGAACGCTGAAAACAGTTATTTATATTTTACTATGATTTAATGACCCTTGTATTTACACATAGAGGAACAGAGGAAGACCGAAGAAAGTATGAATGGATTCTGTGAAAGAGAATATCCTTAAGAAAGGAATGGATTCAGATATGACGGCTGACAGAGCTGTACGGAAGAGCAGCACATACTGTGCCGACCCTCCATAAGTGATAAGGGCAAGTTGATAATGGAACAGAGGTGGACTCTGTTTCTATTTTCATACAGACGTTCCAAAGTTACGTGTCAACAAATATTTCTCCAATGATCTAAAATTCGAATTTAATTATTAGTAACATCATGTTTGAAAGTTTTACCACCGCGTAACGCTATATTAATATTGGAATCTTTATCTCCAGTCCAGCCGTGTACTATGACTGCAGTTGGATTGCTTGCATTAAAGTTAGACGTAGTTATAGAGCTGGTGTCGTCCATAATTAATTCTTCGTATTGTTGACTTGCCCTGAAAAGATGACAATTATTAGTTTGCATAAATAAATATGTTCATAGGGTAACAAAACGGGGTTACTGACATATTACAAACGTAATCTTACTGATATTATAAATGTGAAAGTTTAGATTAATAGATGGATGTTTGTTAGAGTTTGCAGCCTGAACTGCTGAACGGATCTCGATGAAATTTGGTATTGACGTAGAAGGTAGCCTGGAAGAACACATAGGCTTTTTACTTTTGTTTTTATTTTAATCCCACGAGGACGTAGTCGTGGGCGAAATCTAGTTTTATATAGGTATAAGAATATAGATTTTTTTGGACTATGTTAGATTAAGTATTTATTTTTAAATTTCTGTTATTAAGGCAAATTATGTTTTAGTATAATACATAAGCGTAAAATTCAGTTTTTAATAATTGCTATAATGAAAACTATAAATGAATTGTTTTAGAACAAAAATATTGTGATTAAATTAATTAAATAAAATAATATTTTTAAGACTTAACTTACCGAGTATATAAATAGTATTTATTGGTGAATTTTCCAACATTGCGCAGCCATTTTGAATTAGGCTTAGCTGTGCTGTTAAAAATATGCACCTTCCCTTTCTCGTCTGGGAATTTTATTACACCCAGTTCATTATTTGTTGTTCCGTTAAATAATTTCGGAAACTCGAAATTCCTAAAAGCTAGAAATAATTTATCGTTAAATAAAATTAAACTATACATTTTAAAGCTTTAGTACTAATTATCAAATATAAAAATAACAAATCTATGAAATGTTATTGAATATTTTCCTATTAAGAAGCATAAAATTGTGTTTTTTTGAATTTACAACTAGGTCATGATGGTTAATTTATTTATTCTAAAATAAACCTGCATATATCTGAAATTCAAAACTGTGTGGCATTATTACCGGCTGAAGACCAACGTGGTTGACTAAGCCCTAATCAGTCCAAACATAGGGTAAGTTCGAGTTCATGACGGTATCAATGTCTATCAAACAAAGTTAATAAAATAAAGAAAAAAAGTTATAAACAATCCATTGAAACGTATCCAATATCGATATTAAGTGTATCGTAAAAGTAATGAATTCCTCGCAACGGCGCCACACTGCTTTTATTCCCCGCGGCGGGAACTCATTCCGCTTATCGGACAACTTCATAACATTAATCTGAATGTAGCTGACAATTTTTGGTTGTTGCATAAGTTAACAATGTCTATATTAGTGGCCAAAATCACCGTTGCTTTAATAAACATAAATTATTTTATAAATTGTAAAACAAACGGCTATTTTGTTAGACAATTCAAAAATATTAATCATAGTAACTAATATTATAAATGCGAAAGTATACATAGATGGATAGATGGATGTTTGTTAAAGTTTGTAGCCTAAACGGTTGAACGGATCTGGACGAAATTTTTCATAGAGTCTGGAAGAACACTACTAAGCTACTTGCTTTTCTTTTTAATTACACGCGGACGGAATCGCGGGCAAAAGTTAGTTATAAACGAGATTCCCCACTGACTACATGCATATACAGTAAACCCGTCTATAACGCGGTTAAAGGTTCGGCTTTGTAGAAATCCCCCGTATAACACGTTTTAGTTCAGAGGAATTTTTCTTTAAAGTATTGTGTCTAGTTTTGCACAACACAAGAAATCACGAAACAGCTTCGAACTGGGGTTCAAAATAATATTTAATTTGGGCAACTGGGTACATGTTGTTGTTACAATTTGTAAGCGTTACTCACCCGCGCTGCACGTATGTAAACAGAGCAAATAAGTAATGAAATGTTTCATGACGGATGCTTGCATTTGTCCAGATTCGCAGGTGGCCCTCGCGGCGATTTGTCACGACCGTACGTGCTACCGCTGTCGCCGGTACAAATTGCTCTCCACCCGTTTATATATCTTATTATCTATTTGTATTGTTACTTACATGTTTGTACCTTCAGTACACCAAAGAATAGTTGTACATAGGCATAATGTAATGTCAAGAAACTACAAGCAATAATGTAGGAAAACACCAATCAATGACACACAAACGGTGAAGCCATTTAGGTTACACACGAGAGAAACATTATCCTCCTATTATGCGGAAGAAAATATGAAATACATGACAACAATCAATGACTTAATCGTTATTCGAGCAGTCCTTTAAAATTTACATCAAGTAATACCTTTATTAACTAAAACGTCAAGGTTAGGATTTGTTTTGGACTAGCTTTTGCCAGCGACACCGTCTCAAGAAATTAAAAAAAATAACATTCGATGTTACAAAGTGATTAGGCAGCTATCTAATGGCAAAAGAATTTCTGAAATCTGTCCAGTAGTTTTGGAGTTTACTCGTTACATACAAAATATATTCTCAAAGATGATGAATAATCTTGACTTTATGTTTACTTTTTTGTTTAAATTGCCCTCTATAAATATTAAATCTTTGCCCAATTGCGTGCATTATCTCCGTAATGACACTGTTGCGTTATGCAAATGAAAATCTTTGTATGAACTCTAAGTAGCGTTTTCTTCCTTAACTCAAACACAATTACATTGTTAAAGTTGTATTAATAAAGGCAATTGAATAGGAAACAATCGCTATGTACCGTACTTGTGGTTATTTCCGAATTTTATAACTCAATAGTTACTATATACTTGACCTTTCAAATCTCGCATATATCTTAATTATATTATATTATTTTAATCTGATAAAATGCGGGTTTATTAAATTGTTTTTCTGGACAAAAATGAAGTAGTTTTAGTTTAGTTAGACATTTGACTCCTTTCGAAAAGTATTTTAATATGAATAAGAAGAATAAATGGCACGAGATAAAGGTCATATCAACAGGTCACAAAAATTAATATTTATTTGAGTGAGAAAAGAGAGGAATTTAAAAAAACATCTGTGCAGATATTTAATGTTTCCCTTTTATTATTATTTGTCCATTTTTCAAATTTTCTTAATGATAAGAGATGGAAATCGTTTTGTTAAAATACAACTATATGAAAGCATAGGTTAGGTATCTACGATTTTATGTACCTATACGTTTGGAAGTTAGATATATAATTTACTTTCTCATACAATACGTTACTTAACAATAGTTGTATAAATTCCATTAGACAATGTAGCAGATATTATTTACACAGTAGCGTCTAGAGAGTTACTTAAATGAAACAAAACACGAACGTTTCCAATTGTCCCCTTTAAACACAACTTAAACGGTATAAGCGTTGGTTTCCACCGCTTAATAACTGATACAAAATTATATTGTTATCCTTGTCATACACTAGGAATCAAACTAAGTTAGCAGTATGTTTTTTAACTAGTATTTTGGCAGTGTAAACTGACGGTAAGAGGAAGAAACAACGAAATTGTGAGAATAATCCATTGTTTCCCCGTTACTATTGTGGCATTATAATGGGGAATTACGAGATAGTATTCATGCTTATTTTGTGTTAATCACGAGGGTTTGTTATTAAATTAACTTTGTTGCTATAGGGCGACCTCGAATACTATCATTGAATACTAAATTACAAATAAAAATTGTCATAAGGAACAAATTGAAAGTTACGTAAGAACTTTTAAATTCTTGCAAAGATACATAGGGTAATATTTGAAGATAAATTATTGCATACGAATACAGATACAAATTTTACTTATAGTGTATTATCTTATTAATAATATTAAATACGTATGTTTTGTGCAACTACGGAGGTTTAACGAGTGAAATGTTGTTCGTATTATTTTCAGGAATGTCATAGGTTGTTTTTATAAATACCTAGTGTTAAGTTGTAAAGTTTAACATCTTCGCACGATTGGATCAGCTCGCCCGGTAAAATACCACGACCACATAGAAAACAGGCGTGAAGTGGGAGCAATCCCACGGTTAGTCTAGTGAGTGTGGTGCCGGTGGCCCATCTTTAATCCCTTTTCCTTCCCTCGTTTTTTCTTATAAGAAAAGGATGGGACGGAAACGTGGATTTGACGACGGAGGAAAGGGCACAGGAAGGGGAAATATCCTTTTTTTGTGCGTTTCCGCTTCCGTCGATTAAGGGTAGGTAACGCATTCGCCAATAGGAATGTCTATGAGCAGCGGTCGCTTCACCATTTTGGCGGATTTAGTTGGCCGTTTGCTCATTTCCGACCTTATGATATAAATAAAAAATACACTTTAGAAATGTTACAAAATTCCAGTCCGTCCATATTCCTGGATCAATTTTCAATTTTGTACGATGATATGAAATCGTTTATCAGACTTATAACGCCCGGGAAAAAGCCATTTATTTAAAAGTTTCCAAGTCTAACAGCAAGTCACGACTTTGCTTAATTTATTTTACACGGTTACGAAACATGAAATTTCAATAAAACGTGATTTTTCTTATAGTTCAATTAAACATTTTTATTCAAAATAATATTGTTAAAAATATGCTCTTATAATAATTAATGTATAATATTAATTAATAATAAGCTCTTACATTAGTTAATTAATAACTTCATATCTTTATTCTCTTATTTTTATATATAATACATTTCACATGATTTTCTTAAAAAAAATAACAAAATAAAACATATTATATAAAAAAATAGTAAGTCCACCGGCTGCGGAATCCGATGACTCAAGCAACCAGTGGTCAGGGCTGCAGAGACAGGAACCTCCTCACTAGTCGTGCGGTTTCTAAAATAACCGCCTTTTGAATCGGGCCCTTAATCCAACTGTCTAGCGAGAGCTTCTTGAGGTGTTGGTCGAAGCTCTTCGCTATCAGCCCGTGTGCCGAAACGACTATCGGAATAATGGTAGTCGATTTCATACGCCACATGGCGGTAATCTCGTGAGCCAAATCCAAATATTTTAATAGTTTAATAGTTTTTCATTTTCGGTAATTAATAATATTATTATATTTATTATTTATTAATTACATAAGAGCAGAAAACATTACTAAAAATTGTTCATTTCATGTTTCTTTTCAATTAATAATATAAGTTTAAAGATTGACTACGCTAAAGGAAATATAATAGTGGTAAGCTGAAGCTAGCTGGTAGCTATAGGAAAGTTTAAAGTAATTAACTTATAGTGTTAACATCGTAGACGTTGAACTGTTGCCAAAATATCCACCTGAAGTACCGGTATTTAATGAAACTCTAAGAATTTTCTGAATGTATCTTGTGCAACTAAACAGTTGAATTGACTACAAAACAATCGATACTCGACAATCGCACAACAGTTGTCCGATAGCATAGTAAAAGGTGTGCGCCCGCTCTTAGAATCTTACTCTACATATTAATGTGTTAGAACATAAACAGGCGTTGTATGTATGTTATATGTGTTAGACATAACAAACATAAAAATAATCTAATTGTTTAACATGAGTGGAAATGGAAATTGAAATGGAATCATGCTTCCTTGTGGTCGCCATACACGGACAACCTCAAGTAGTCCGTACCGACATATTTAAGTGGACAGGTAATAGTTGCCATAAATTGCATTAGAAGCAGATACCAAATACTTGAGAATACGTGTATGGTGGCTATTATTATTAATAATCATTGACATTATAATGCACTTTAATTATTTAGTTGTTAACCGTTACAAGGCATCTTGATCTGATATTTATCAATTATGTACGTCAATGTTATCTTATTAGCAGGACAGTGTTTGATAAAAACAACAATATTTTTCAGTACACCAATGTACTATCAGTCGTTGCCGTTGTTGTACAACACTATTTTAAACTTACTTATTCTTTTCATAATGCAAGAAAGCAGTTTCATAAACATTTTTTTAATTCGGTTACACATCTCTGACGTCATCAGAATATTCGACCGAAGTTTCTTGAAATAAAAAAAATAAAAAATAAATTATCTCTAAATTAGAAGAATTTTTAAATATCATTTAATGATTTTACAAACATTTTTAATTATTAAATGTTTCTTTCTAAATTGAAAGGAATAATATCATAGTTCAAGTATTTTCAAAGACTTTAATATACTTTGCAAATGTTCAACGTCTTCTATAGCACTTAAAAGGTACCTAATTCTGATCTTAGTAGAATATCGCAAATGAAAATGAAAAATGTATTTACTAAGAAGCAAAACATACAGAAATTCATATAAAATATTGCTTGTACTTTTTGTTTTTCTTGCCTCTCAATTTATTTAAGGTTACTTCGGTAATATCGTTTTAATTAATACAACGAAAAGTAACCTAATGAGGAATTTTAACTCAAATGATACATTCACATATTTTCAAAATGAAAAAGAAGTATAATTAAAATATTTATTAGAAACAAGCTGCTCCCGTGCGGCTTCATCCGCATGAAACTATGATTTTTTTTATTGTATTGTTTACATTTGTCAAATTATCAATTGCAAATGTCAAACATAATGACAAACCATGGCAACCTTGTTTATTTCATGTTGGCAGCTTGTAGTTTATAGTCCCTTTCCTACATGAAGGTTTTTTCCAATTTATTTACCCGCTAAGTTTAATAGCGAGAATGTATATAGCCTAAAGCGTGTCTTTAGTATTAGTGTAGAGCTTTTTATTGTAGAAAGTATTATTCAAAAATAAGTTGTGATTATTAACATTCTACGCCACGAAATAGTATGTGTTTAGGCTTTATTATTTTAGTATTGATATAGATTAGATATATAAAAGATATAAGATTAGTATAGAAGTATAGATTACTACTTGCTTACTGCGTTGGCGCAGCGACCCGAAGTGGGTCTTGGCCTCTGACACGAGAGAGCGCCAGCATCTAGAACGTATAGATTACTAAGATAAAACTAAATATACTGCACTTTTGTGGCATCTATACTTATAATAAAGGAAGTCAATACACTATATTAAAAGCTATGATAGCAACATTAACAATTGTGTATACAAATTTAAACGATAATATTTTCTAAATTCCCATAATGACGTATAAAGCAAAAAAGTTTACAAGAACAGTGTACGTGTCCCAGCAAACAGTTTAGATGAGAAAAGTTCGCGCCGAAGCGGACGGCAAAATACGGTGCGGGGACAAATTGCTTTACTAACACAACAGATTGCAAACTTTTGTTCGACGGAATGGCACAAAAACTGAGTTAAATCGTGCGTAACGTGTTATTGCAGATCCTAAATTATATTACAATACTACATTGCTATGAAAAACATAGCCTATCTGCATCTATACTAACAAGGGAAAATTTGTGTTTTTGCATTTTTGTATGTTTTGAAATAACTCAATAACTACTGGGCCGATTTTAATAATTCTTTTACCGTTAGAAAGGACGTCAGTTATGATTGTGCAGGGGTACACTGGCAGAGGTAGGCCTAGTAGTTTAGTAGCCTAGTAGTGTAGTAGTTTAGTAGCCTAGTTTTATTTCACTCAGACGAAGTCGCAAGCAATAGCTAGTCTTATACATAGCAGTGATAATAAAGCTTTCAAATGATGATAGAATTTTTGAAATCAGTCCAGTAGTTTAAGTTATTTCAATACGTACAAAAGACATTTCATCTTCATAATATTAGTGAAGATGTACATACATGGGTACAATATTTGCTAACATATTGTTGGAAACATGTTGGCTTTGTTTTAGTTAGTGAGTAGTACATATTGTGTAGAAATAGCGTTAATATCTACGTCTCTGTAAACTAATGCTACGACAACGCAAATAATGCTACGACAACTCAGGTAGTGCTACGGCATCGCACGTAGCGCTAACAACTTATAGTATCGAGTAATATGACCGGACACTATAAACCAAAAATCCTTAATTAATATTATATCCTATGCATTATCAAGACTGTTAATTGTCGATGTTCAAATTTTCGTTGACATTCAATCATCTTAAAGTAACAAACATATGTATATTTGTATTTGTAATATTAGTAAGAACTAAGATTACAAATTATAATTTTGAAATCAATGTTTTAAAAATTATTTAATCTCGCAAATCAAAGCAGCTTGTGGTGAAAAGGATATATTTAATTACATTATCAAAGTTGTTATCTAAATTCTTTACGATTATATTCAGAGTTATTGATTTTTTTAAATACTACCTCTTATCTTATCATTCGATAGATTACTAACTAAAGAAATGCACAAAATAAGATTGTAATTGCGAGTGTTAAGGGTATTTTCTTTCATTTTAGAACATGGCATAAACATAGTACCAGATGCGTTACCTATCTAAAATAATCTGTACTAATATTATAAAGAGTAAAGATTTGTATTTTTGTTTATTGAAATAACTCAAAAACTACTGAGTCGATTTAAAAAATCTTCTACCGTTACAAAGGTAATTAATCTGTGAGTAATATAGGCTATATGTTTTAATTTCATGTAGACAAAGTTGAAAGCAACAGCTAGTTATTTATAGACGTAGCATATATTAAACAGAGATATATGACTCAAATGTAATTGATAATTTAAAATTTGACTTTTGTTCAAATCCACTAATAAAATCTTTAAATTAAAAATTACAATATCGATAAAATTTTTGATAAAAAAGATATTGTATCTACAGTAGCAGCTTGATAGAAATCAATCTTGATAAATCACCGCACGATCATATAAAAAGTAAATCTGACCTTTACAGGATTTTACTGGCCCATGTAAAGACGTTCGCAATGAAGTTGTGGTTTATACTGTCGTTATTTATAAGCGGTAAGATAAAAAATTTTATGGTAGAATTTTGTTTCATAATAAAAATCATTACACACATGAAGGTAGTATAAAAATTATTTATTCTTAAATAAGCATTCAACGTTTGTTTTTTTTTCAGATTGTATTGTGTATTAAACAGTCTTATAAATTGTGTATTTTTAAGGTTACGTCGCTTTGCCGGCGGTGAATGACGTACCGTATCAAAGATATTTAAACTTTCCCGATGCGGAAGGAATAATTCACACAATTGATTTAGAAGCAAAACCGGACTTCGAGCTTTTAAATGAAGTTGAAAATGATTCCGCGAACAACCTCTATTTATTATTCACACGGTACGAAATTATATCTTAAAATGTTTAATGGAAAAGAAAAAATATACTTTAAGTCGATTGAAATAAAATTTAGATTTCTTAAATTACCAAACGACCATGTGGATGCTTATCCAAGTTAATTAATACTGTATTCGTATTAATTTTTGTGGTTGTTAGCTATAATTTTTTTTAAAGATTTACTAATTATTTACGCATTTAAAGATAATACGATTTTGTGCTCATATTAAGACTTTGTTTATTAATATTTTAATAACAATTACTTCAATAACTTTCCCTACATGCAAGAGTGTAATTATAACACAGTCAAAAATGTATCGTTTTAATTCCAGTGCTAACCCCACAAGTCCTCAAACGTTGGTCATGGATGACGCTGACTCAGTTACCGAATCTAACTTCAACCCTGAACGTCCTACCGTCGTCATCGTTCACGGATGGCTCAACAATCAAAATACAGGACTAAATGCAGTTATACGAGATGGTAATTTTATTAATAACTTGTATGTGTCATATGTCATTTCGTGAGTATACGACCGCCCTTTAGATCATTCTTTTCAATCGCTATTATGAAAAATGTCAATTAAAACTAACTACTGTAGATAAGCAAATATAGTTGGTGTTAAAATTTAGATAAAAACCGACAAAAATCTAAAAAGCAAGAATAAGAGTATCGTTATACAAATATTTTTTTAAGTGCTTTATTCTGATAAATTTGTTAAAAATATATTTTTAGCACATCTCGGAAAGGCGGATTGCAACGTGATCGTCGTAGACTGGGAGCGACTCGCCGGTTCTGATTACGTCACAGCTTCGTTCGGCGTGCCAGCAGTAGGACAAGGCTTAGGGAAATTTTTGGCATTTTTGAACACCGTCACTGAGGCACCTTATTCATCTATGCATCTTGTTGGCTTCAGTCTTGGTGCCCACGTCGTGGGTAACGCTGGAAAGGAACTGGGAGGACAAGTTGCTCGTATCACAGGTAAAATAAAAATTCCCTCATTTATTGTGACAATGCAATAAATAAATCAGATATCATCGAAGATCAAAATGTTCTTTATGTGGTGGTAATAATGTTTTGTCAGATGATATGATGAATGCTGCTAAATTTCAACTTTGGTAATTAAAATATGCATTATTATTTTATTTCAGGGTTAGATCCGTCTGGTCCACTTTGGACCAATAACCAGAATCGTTTGAACGCTTCCGACGCTGTCTATGTAGAGGGTATCCATACTGATGGCCCTTCTGGTGTCAACCCTACCCATGGATTCGGAATTGGCATTCCAATCGGTACAGCTGACTTCTTCCCTAACGGAGGAACATCCCAACCTGGTTGTTTAACCAGTATTTGTGACCACAACAGATCTTGGGAACTGTATCGTGCTAGCGTTACCTACAATCACCTGATTGGACGGAAATGCATCAATATGCTGCAAATGTTAATGAACATATGCTGGGGAACTAATTTCCATATGGGCAATGACAACTTGATAAAGTCGGAGTAAGTAGATGAGATTTTTAAATGTTAGTTGTGTTAAAAATATGAAATTGAATTAAATTTTCTTTACAGATATGGAATATTCCGCTTGGACACTGGATGGAGATATCCGTATTAATTTACTAACAAACCAGTATGACGAAAAATAAAAAAAAAAAACAGCAACAATAGAATTTTGTGCTTTTAAATTTTTGTGTAATCCGATAAAATCTTGCCATGTTTGATCTTGTTAAATCGCAAAATAATATGACATCTAGTTTTAGCCATCACTTTTATTTTATTGTTAAAAAAATAATCTATAGTTCTATATCTAAACTACTATACTTATATTTTAAACAGGACATATATATATTTGCATTTTTGTATGTATTGCAATAACTCATAAATTAGGCCGGTTTTTTTATTTTAAAAAAATATATGTTATCACTAAGTAACATAGGCTGTATTTTTAAGTATTTCTTTTAATTCACGCGGACAATCTCGTGAGTAACAGCTAGTCGTTAAATAGTTTGATTCTCTGGGGTACCTTGAAATCAAGTTAAATGTGCACTGTGGTCAAATCAAGGTTCGTTTGAGGCAGATTACTGTATTAAATGTCCAGCCAAGCGATTTTGAGCTTGGCTGTCTTCCAGCGTGGAAACATAATGAAATAACGGCGTCTATGATCCCGTAGGGCGCTACGGGCGCTTTGAGCTTAGTTACCCTTAGATATGTTTACACTTTGTTTAAAGTTTGTACGTTAAACGCAGTGTAAGGATACTATCTGTATTTCGATTTAAACACATCATACATATGGGCCACTACTTTGTAAAAATGAAATAATATTCTTCCGACATAAAGGTAGCTAATGCTATCAATCATCATCTTTCACCTAATTCTACTTCCGTAGCGTCGGCGCATCGGATTTTTGTCATCATCATCCGTCATCTCAGTCATCACTCCCTTCTTGATCACATCACTTTTCACTCAATCCATCATTTCATCTGAGAAAAAATTGCTTAGTCAGAAATGTTGTTGAATTTCTAAGTTTTGGATTGGAACCAGGTGTAATGTAACAGAATTATGGACAAATATTTCAACAATCCCTGAAATAATCTAGTTAATACAGTACAACTTAAATTAAAATGAAAAAAAAAATTATGAACATGCGAAAATATTTAACTTTTATTTATCAGTCGAAATTACGATTATATACATTCAGAATGGGTGTCTTCTGCCGGTATTAAGACGATAGAGGCCAGATCTGAAAAAAAACGTGATTAATGTTTTTTTCTAACTTCACGATAAATTATCTACATAAAAATGATGATTCCACCACGTATGTTTTATTTATTAGTATTTCCTATTCTATCAGTGTCGTCCCTTGGCACAGATATGCAGTTCTTAAATAATTTTGTTCAGTAATGGTATAAGTCGCTCTGTCTCACAAAAAGACTGATAGCTTAATTTATGCACGAAACATTTTCTACGTAGTTACTGTGCTTACCCAGATTTGTTTAGAATGTCATTGCCCATATTCAATCTTCCACCAGTGCATGAGTTCGAGGAGACTTGGTTCATGTTGTTGCATCGCTGACCGACGAGGTGGTTGTAGGTGACAGTCGCAGCGAACAATTCCCAAGAACGATTGTGGTCGCAGATCCCAGTCCCACATCCCGGTTGTGATTTACCACCATTAGGGAAGAAGTCGGCATTACCACAGGCTGCTCCAATACCCAATCCTGCGGTACCTCCGTCTGTATGTATACCCTCGACATAAACAGCGTCACTAGCTCGAAGACGGTTTGAGTTGTTACTCCACAAAGGTCCGGCAGGGTCCAAACCTAAAAGTATTTCCACGTTTATATTTGAAAGAGTAAATTACCTCAAAATTAAAAAAAAAGTTCATATGAAAGCAATTATGACATTTAAGGTAACAAGTGAATTGATATCGATTTTAATATTACAAAATAACCAATAATATAACTCATTAGACACCTGTAACACGAGCTGCTCTTCCTCCAATTTCCCTGCCAGCGTTTCCAACAAGATGTGCTCCCAAACTGAATCCAATCAAGTGCATGGTGTTATACGGCGCTCCTGCCACACGATTGAGGAAGGCCAGGAACTGACCCAGCCCGCGGCCCACCGCAGGCACTCCTCTCACTGCGGTAGCGTAGTCTGAAGTCGCCAGTCTTCTCCATTCCATAATAATTACGTTAACATCGCTTTTTGCTAAGTAAGCTATAAAAGAACAACGAAAAGATTTATGTTATAAAAAATATACAGCTTTCAAATAGAAATGTGAGTTGTGAAATAGATGGTAGATATTGACTCACCATCACGAATTACATCATTTAGGCTAGATTTTTGGTTGCTCAGCCAACCATGGACAACGACAACGGTTGGTACCCGTCCATTGAAATTGGATGACGTAACTGAGTTGGCATTGTTAATTACCAATGTTTGCGCGTTTCTGCGATTTCGCCTGTGAACAATCGATTTTTAAAACAAATTAAGAGTTCATAGGATGAAAGAAAAGGATCAGAAGTGTAGGATGTGGTGCATATATGGATTAGGTAAGCCGATTGTGACCATTAAAAATTGTTTTTGTACGTACCTGGTATAAAGAAGATATCGATTATTAGCTGGGTTTCTGTTAATCTCTTCCAGAAGTTCCATGTCAGGTTCTGCTTCCAGATCCACCGTGTGCATTACTCCGTCTCCATCGGGGAATTCAATAAATCGAGGATAAGTCTTTTCCTCTTGTAACATTGGCACTGCTGCCACGTAAGCTGAAACATTCAGATTGTTTTCAAAATCCTATCCACTGATGTTACTTTGTTTTGCTGACTGTGAAATATTATTTTTCAACAAATGAGTTTAAACTATTAATAGAGGATGTCTCGTTCTCTATGTACGTCTAAACTTTGTACTAGTAGAGTTTTTTTAAGAAAAATACTAAGTAAAAGAAGTTCGCATTAATAAGACACAATCATCATAAGATTAACTTCCTATATCACAAATCATTTTTATCACACAAGCATATGACTACATACCAGCAAAGCTAAGAGCGACCAGAAATATCAACCTCATGTTTACAAAATTCACCGTCGTCTACTTAAATTCTGGAATGTTTGTCTTTATATAAAGACAATATGAGATTAAATCTAATCAGGACTATCTGTTTTGCAAAATATTAATGCGTTTTCTTAACTGATACTACATGTTGTACTATCACTTAGCTTGTACAGTCTAGGAAATCCGCAGTGGTCCAGTTTTAGAAAAATTGACTTGTTCCTTGTAATGAGACCAACTCCGCTTCTTTGAAAAAATCAAATAGGTAGCCATGAATTGCGCAAACAAATTGTATAACAATTAAAAGCAATCAGCCGTGTACCATTCACCGACATTTTTTTCAGACAGGCATATTTAAAAGCTGAATCTTATTGATTGTTGTTCCTCACCATCGTCTTAATGTGAAAAAAACTTTCAAATGATTTAATTCACCGTCTGTTTCCCCGATTGTACAAAAGATATATTTAATGTCTTGTCGAAAACCTTACTTACCAATTGTAGAGTGTTATTGTGATAAGAATAATTGAAATAATATCAATTGCTACGTTTGTTAAAGTGGATATGTAGCCTGTATCTTCAACATCTCCGAAAAACAGTATCATTTCTTCCACTTTAGAAGAATGATGAAGAACAGACCATATGCGTCTTTGGTAAAATTTGCTTAAATGCTTCTAAAACCAGAGGTGATACAGAAGATGTATGCTGCATAGGTTACCTATAAGGTGAAAGTAACTTGACTATCAAGTACATTGTATAAGTACAAGTACAATTGGCGTTACATTGTTGGGTTAAATCTACATCTTGGTTCCATATTTTTCTCTTTTCTGCTTCTATTTTCTTTGATTGATGTACAAATTAATGTGTATGATGTTAGTTCACATACAACCATTATGTAAGGGGTGCATTGCATCTGTTTTTACTCAGTGTATTTGCAGTCATATATTATTGCTATTTCTAAGTATTTATCAACATGTTTATGTTATAAACACAGTAACTATTGGCAGTGAGTGTCCTAGGAGAGCTCTCGAGAGAGTGTAATAGTTGTATATGTAGGTTTAAGCGCACTCAGTACTTGTGGTAATGCAAACAGTTTCTATCAGTCTCGTTTATACGCGTAAAGATAGTTAAATTTCCTTTTAACCATGCAGTTACTTTATTAATTAAATTAATTTAGAATTCACTCATTATTATAGTTTTCTCGGTACTTCGTAGCGTAAAATCTGTATATTAATTTTCCTTAATTATTTGTTAACAACGCAAATTAAAAATAAAACTTTCCAACACATTTTTCAGCGACAAATATAACTACTCTACTACGCAAAATATAATTAAACATCTGTGGATAAAAAGTAATGCATGCAAGCTTTCGTATTAATGCTAATTAAAATGTAACTTAAAACTACATGCTAATGTAACTTAAAGACCATTTTAGGAATAATTTAAAGAAATGAAACCAACATTATTTGTGAATAATTTAGCGTTTATTTTTTCGAATAATTTAGAAAGGATGATTTCTGCCTGTGTTCACGCGATATAATCCAGTCCTGAAATGAAAAAATAATTATTTCAGTATTAATGATTATTAGTTTGTAGTGGCCATCTAACTACATTTCTTCTTTACTACACTTTATCAAAAAGGAAAAACTTACCCAGATTTGTTTAGAATGTCATTCCCCATATTCAATCTAGCACCGGTACATGAGTTCGAGGAGACTTGGTTCATATTGTTGCATCGCAGACCGACGAGATGATTGTAGGTGACAGTCGCAGCGAACAGTTCCCAAGAACGATTGTGGTCGCAGATTCCAGTCAGGCATCCAGGCTGTGACTCTCCTCCGTTGGGAAAGAAGTCGGCATTACCACTCGCTGCTCCAATACCCAGACCTATGGTGCCTCCATCAGTATGTATACCCTCGACATAAACACCATCGCTGGCTCTGAGACGGTCGTTATTGTTGTTCCACAGTGGACCAGCGGGGTCCAAACCTAAAAGATGAAAATGAAATTGAAAGAATTATAATACGAAGATAGTATATAACATGTTTTATACAAATTTTTTATGTTGCACGATATAACGCTACTGTAACTGATAAATTAGTTATTATTGGAACAAAGTATTTCTTCCTTAAAGGTTTTTTTATGAGAGAAGGGGGCAAATGAGCGGCGGGAATACAGAGGTGGTCAACGAAGCCCATACATCCACGACACCAGAGGATCTGTAGTGCGTTGCCGGTCTTTGAGGAAGTTGTAAGCTCGCTTCTTGAAGGTGATGGCCATAGTCATGAAGTTATCAAGGTATATCTTAATCTCAGGTCAAATTAGGCATGTAAAGGATTAGAACAAATTTCGTCTGCTTACCGGTAATACGGGCAGCTCTGCCACCGATTTCCCTTCCAGCGTTTCCAACGAGATGTCCTCCCAAACTGAATCCAATTAAGTGCATTGTATTGAAGGGAGCACCAACTACTCGGTTGAGGAAAGCCAGGAACTGTCCCAGACCACGGCCTACTGCGGGAACTCCTCTTACAGCGGTAACGTAATCAGAAAGTGCAAGTCGTCTCCATTCCATAACGATTATGTTAACATCGCTCTTTGCCAAGTAAGCTATAACAGAACATATTATCTCAGTAAAAATATTGTGCCTTTTTGTTCAACTCAAACTTTGTTTAGATTTGAAACTACAATATAAAAGTTCAAATACGTTTTATTTCATTTGTTCGTCTTACCGTCTCTAATAACATCGTTCAAGCTTGACTTCTGGTTGCTCAACCAACCGTGCACGATGACCACAGTGGGGACGCGTGCGTTGAAGTTCGATGAAGTAACAGAATTGGCATCGTTAATTACCAAAACTTGCGAATTTCTGGGGTTTCGTCTATAAAAATAACATTTTCTTATCATTATCCTAAATAAGAGTACTCTAAGACAAACTGTTCTCTAGTACGATCAGAATATTATAAAATTTGATTTTGAGATGTAGGATCTAGTAGCTGGTGTTAATTATCAGGGGTTTCTAAGTATTACTGCAATTCTTTATTGCCATATTTAAATGATTAATAAGTAAGAATGTATTTTTTAAAGAACTAGTTAAAGCTCAGGAATTGTGGTGTAAAATTTACGTTTTTCCAACAAACCATTACAAGGGTAAGTAGTCCTACGTAATATAAAAAGTTGCTCAGCAGCATAAAGTTGACAATCTTATCTAAAAAGTGATTCAAATCAAATTGTTGGCATATGTAATGAACATTGAAGGACACAATCGTGTTAATATTTTAAAACTTATTTGTAAAAGATATGATAGTTTCGTTAATCTATGTTGTAGTTTGTAATAAGTCGAAGTTATTTTGTGATATGATAAGGATTATCGATGATAATTACGCGCATTGATTGTAGCTATGAATGACTTGTAAATACCGGAAAAGAATTACATTTCGGTATACCACCATGTACTACAAGTATTTATTGTTGTTCTTGCAGAACACGAAGCCGTAAGCTTGCTTCTGCTCCCCATTGATGTCGCTGACGTTAATAAAATGTCTTAAAGATGATTGATGATGTCTTGAAAAATGTTCTGTTAAGTCGTCAAGTAGTTTCTAGAAAATTTATAAACGTAAATATACCTTTATTGACTAAAACAGTAATTGATTTGAAAACGTGTCTTTACTTAAAATTTCAAGTTTATTGGCGCAATCGTTTCAGTTTCAGAAGCATTGATATCGAATCTCTCACGTTCTGTTTATCGCGATAGGGTTTTAAACAAAATCGGACTAACCAACGCGTCAATATCAGTAACAGTATCAGAAATCTGACACTAAACAACACACTGATTTCAGAATCATAAAGACTATAAAAAAAATGATAATAATCCTCTTCGCTAAGTGGGCTAATATTTAGTTTTTAAGCCTTGTACTGGTTCAAGTTGGTGCGGGGCCGTGAATGGTGGAAAGTGTTATTGTCGGAAGCTAATTTCTTTTAGTTTTACTTAAAGTCTCACCTGGTATAAAGAAGATATCGGTTGTTAGCCGGATTTCTGGTAATCTCTTCTAGAAGTTCCATGTCAGGTTCTGCTTCCAGATCCACCGTGTGCATTACACCGTCTCCATCGGGGAATTCAATGAACCGAGGATAAGCCTTTTCCGTTTTTGAAATCGGTACAGCGGCTGCGATAGCTGGAATATTTAATTTTGTCAAAATTACCCACGAGTTCTTTTGATTTGATGTTTGTTCCGTAACTTGTGTAAAACGGATTAATTTGTGCATATCAAAACGATGTCAAAAGAAAACAAAAAATTGTATAACGTACCAGCGAAGCCAAGAGCAAACAACAATATCAACTTCATGGTGACGAAACCCACTATTGGTCTGCGGTGTAATTCTGGAAGTTTTCTTTTTATATTAAGAACAAATGAGATTTAATCTTATCTTAAATTTGCTATCGTTGATAATTCATAGATTAGTGTTATTGAGCTAGTAATTAACAGATTTACGTTATAACAAATCCCCTATTTATGTACGTATTATCTACCACCAAAAGAGATGATTTTTTTCAGCTCACTGTAGTGGCCAGGAATCAACTAGTCTTTAAGACAAAGTTACAAATTTAATATCAACGCGGACACTTTTTTTCTGAAAACTGAAATCATAACAATTTTGAAATAAGCGTCAATGTATTTATTAATATTGCACTTCAATGTACATCTGTAGATACGTATCCTAAAATTACAATGAAAGTATCTTTGGTTGGATCTGTCTCAAACTTCACTCCAGCTGTAATATACGAAATTTTTAAATTGTTTGTTGTTGAATTTTTGTTAAATATTCAATAAGTTTGCGCGCCAGAAATATTTAAATTATATTATCATTGTGATCTAGAGATTATAAATATCACATAAATATATATTAACTCATTCAACGAAAACAAATAACAATTGCGGAGGCCTGAACCCCATACACAAAGTAATGATCTTTATGATTTATTTTATAATTTCTTTCATTATAAAAGGCACTTATTAAGCTGCGGTGTCGTTCTCTTAATTATGATATTTTGTTTTACTAAAATTTTGATATTAACAATAAGAAGTTTACTATACTGACTTAAACAAAGAAAAAGGCACACGTGCAAATGTTCTACTATTAATTAATAACTGATTTCGTTAACATCATTAAAATCATTTACATATGCGTGATATTATATTTGTTGTCTTTCAACTGTGATATCTCTCCCAAATATATTTACAAGGGAAATTTTGTAGGTTCAATAGAAAATGTTAATTAAATCAACATCTATTGTGAATTTTGCATTTATTTTTTATTACTATTCAACATAAATTTATTCGTCGTAATTATTAGAAAGGATGACTTCTGCCTGTGTTCACGCGATACAATCCAGTTCTGTAACAGAAAAAAATGGTTTAAAATACGATACCTTAGAGTCATATACAAAAATTGTAAATTTATGAATTTAATTTCCGCATACTACACTTACCCAGATTTATTTAAAATATCATTGCCCATATTCAATCTAGATCCAGTGCAAGTGTTCAAAGAAACTTGTAAAGTACTGGAGCATTGCCGACCGACAAGGTGATTGTAGGTGACAGTCGCAGCGAACAGTTCACACGCACGATTATGATTGCATAAACTACTTATACAGCCCGGCTGTGAGTTGCCACCATTAGGGAAGAAGTCAGCATTAGCAATAGCTGAACCAATACCCAATCCTCCAGTTCCTCCGTCAGTATGTATGGCCTCGACATAAACACCGTCACTTGGTCTGAGACGGTTTGAATTGTAATTCCATAGTGGTCCAGCAGGGTCCAGTCCTGATTGTTGAAACAGAGCATGCATTAAGTTAGCGGGATAACCAAATATGTTTCAGTTCCAACTAAGCAAAGTATTTGATATTTGACAATAGACAAGTACATTTACTATGAATATATCCATAAAGGATCTTTTAGTAAGTAATATTGTTAAATGTACACACCAGTAACACGAGCTGCTCTTCCTCCGATTTCCCTTCCAGCGTTTCCAACGACGTGGGCACCCAAACTGAATCCAACCAAGTGCATTGTGTTGAATGGGGCGCCTGTCACCCGATTGAGGAAAGTCAGGAACTGCCCAAGCCCGCGGCCTACCGCAGGTACTCCTCTTACCGCGGTAGCATAGTCAGAGAGAGCCAATCGTCTCCATTCCATGATAATGACATTCACATCGCTCTTCCCTAAGCATGCTGTTAACGAAATGAAACATTCGGTTAAATTAACATATATCCACGGTATTGCATCCAAAGCGTGGCCGCGTTCACAAGACAGCATTGTAAGGATTCTAAATCAATCGGCAATCTTTGCCTCCCCTCCCTATTGTTTTACTATCACTTGTCTTGATTGTGTTGTGTCGCGTGGTAATGTGAATTTAAACTTATTGTTCAATTACGAAATTAAAACATAGTTAGTTAGATACACTTAATATAGTTTTATGTGGTTTACATGGACGTACCGTCTCTAATAATAGTATTAGTACTAGTATATTGATTGCTCAGCCATCCGTGGACGATGACAATGGTGGGGAGACGTGCGTTGAAGTTTGATGACGTAACAGAGTTTGCGTTATTAATGGTCAACGTCTGAGAAATTCTGGAGTTGCGTCTGTAAAAAAGCACCAAATGTATTATAGTCATACTTCCTTTCGCCAGTAATTCCGGTCGCGTGGAATTAAAACAAACAGAAAGTATTTAACAAACAAACAAAACAGAAACAAAAAGTAAACCTTTATTTTCTTCCAGACTATGTTCTACATCTATGCCTAATTTCATCGAGATCCGATCAGCCTTCAGGCTACAAACTCTAACAAACATCTATCCATCTATCAAAACTTTCGCGTTCATAAAATTAGTAAGGTTGCTAGATTATATTGCTCACTTTCTAACTGTGAGATTTAATACTTTGATATACTAGATATCTCGACATGCACTAAATGTATTGTATTAAATTTTAGTAATGAATGTTAAGAAAACACACCTGGTATAAAGGAGATATCTGTTGTTGGCAGGATTTCTGTTAACCTCTTCCAGAAGTTCCATGTCGGGTTCTGCTTCCAGATCCACCGTGTGCATCACACCGTCTCCATCGGGGAATTCAATGTACCGAGGATATTTCTTATCCTCTTTTAAAATGGGTACAGCTGTTGCTAAAGCTGAGATATGAATTTTAGTTAGGATTTATTACGTGTTAGTAATCGTTGATTTTCATCATGACTGTGTTTAATTTTATCATTGAGAATTGGACTATAATAAACAAGTGATCGTAGCAAGCGGGTTTCCAAATTCAAGGTTTTCAAACTACATAAGTAAATAAATGATGTGGTGATGCCTTCAAATGTATTTATTTGTCGAATCAATTTTGAGTACTTACCGACAAAGCCAAGAACAAATAAGAATAACCTCATGATGATAAAACGTAATATATCTGCGATGTTTTTGCTGGAAAATTCCTTTTTATATTGAGAAAAAATTGGATTAAATCTTATCTTGTAATTGTTATCGTTCAATTCAAAACATTAATATAAATTTTGGCTGATAATACATACATTAGCTTGTTATTATGATATTTACATACATATTCCTGTTTTACATAAATTGGTGTTATCAGTCAAAAACAATACAGCTTGGTATTTTCATCATGATTTGGTTTGATTTTTGCGAATAATTTTTACAAAATTCATAGTTTTTATAGATTTTACAGCAGTAGTTGATTCTATATACTATGTTCTTGTATCCCATATATTTACTTTTCGTGTTTTTATTTCATTTATATGTTTTGTCAGGGCGAATTCATTTTACTTACGATTTACATAAATAAATTAAATTCACATAAAAAAAAACACAATTAGCTATTAATGGACTTCTTTAATCTTTGTTATTTTTTTATAATGAATGTTTAATAGATATTAAATGTTGTTGCATAACATCAATTGCTACTCCACAGTTACATTTCTTTCTTTTTCATACAACATATTTCTAAAGATTTCATTCGCTCTCTGTATACAATGTGCGTAGAATTGTAAAATAAGTCCAAGATGTGCTTATAATCTGCAATAAAGAAACACATTTTAGTTTTATTCTATACTCACATTAATTTAAAATGTAAATGTAAGTACGTTATTGGCATGCTTTAGAATAAATCGTTTTTATTTAATGTTATGCAATACGACCCATTTAAAATCGAATATCGAAAATGAAACCGTCACCAAAAATTTATAAATAATCTAGCATCAATAATAACTCAGCATAACAAAGAGAAACCTTTTTGCATTATATGCCAGAAAATATTCATCGTAGGGTCGTATGGGTAGGAAATTATCGTCTCCGTCTTCATAACAGTCAACTACGATGTGAGGATGTGTTAAAACAATCTATGTAATTGACATACCTTGGTAAAACATTTGTAAGATATAACAGAGAATTTATACGCTGTTAAATGTTTTTCCTTATTGGATCTGAAAAAACAGATTCTTTTATTACACTTTAATTATTGTGAAGCAAATAATGAAGTTTATATTAAATAGTAAATATTGCCCGGGGCTACGCGTGCCTTCGTTTTATATTGGTGCTGGGGATTTTTGTAGCTCGGTTCTGTGTAATTTTGATAAATGTAGGTTAAATAAGTCAAAATGTTATTAACAAATAAAAGAAAAAACATAATATCGATGGTATATTAATTTCATAAATATACCGAGCGTTATTGATGACGAGAAATTAAGAACTTCGTGGAATTTGATCGGTTCATCATCGGGGCATCAATTTGTGTTTTTCTCGTTTCGTTTCACTCAAGTTCCGACACGCTTTCTAAGTTATGCTACCATACTTTTCAAACATATGTAAGTACTTATTAAATTACGAACTGTTGCTCACGTCTTCGCCAGCGTGAAATTAATATAATAGTAAAAATATAGCCTATGTTACTCATTGATAACGTAGATTTTTAATGGTACAAGAATTTTTCAAATCGGTCCATTATTTTTTTGAGTTATTTTTATACATACAAAAATACAAATCATTCCTTTTACAAGATTAATATAGGTTTACCTTGTTATTATCAACAAAATTGTTTTCTTTGATGATTTGTCCATATCGTGCCAGTTACAAAAATACGCCATCTCACCAACGCTTGTGCTCTAAAAAAATTAAGCTTATTTTGGTAACATTATATTGTTTAAAATGTTGAATAATTTAATACATATTCCATAAGTTACCTTTCTCATCAGAGTTTCACCAAACAAACACATCATGTACATTTGTAAAAGCACCGAAGTCAGGAATAGAGTAACTCCAAGGATTTGTATGCCACCTCCAAACTAAAAATAATCATTAGAGTAAAAAAAAGCATAATTATAAAATGTTATCATTAGTTTCTGCCGAAATACAGCAAAGATGAGGTTTTTCACAATCATAGTGCTTTTAAAAATGCGAAAGCTTAAATCGATTTTTATTAAAACGTATCTCTGGAACGGCTCAATAGATGAATTTTACGGTACAAATGAAAAACACTGTCTAGAGGAACCCTGCCTACTTATTTTTTTTTCTACGCAGACAGTCATAAGTGTAATAATAGAATAGTTATAAAGAAAAATAAACTCTATAAAGTTGTCTTACCGTTAAAGTAAAACCAAGAGCGCATATTTCTAAAGAACCCACTAAGACATTAAAAAAGTTAGGTGCCGTAAATATATCTTCTAAACCTTCTGACAACCTAAAAAAAATACAATGTAAAAGTTTCCGTTTGGGAACACAATAAGGTATTAATTATAAAATCACATACTTAAGTAGATATTGATGTCTTTGAATTATATTTTTTAAAAGATTCCCGTCTGTTAAATGTTGGATATCGGAAGATAGCAGAGTAAAATGATTACAAATATGTGACGTCAATATGTAATATAATATATCAACAGCTGTGTAAAATAAAACGCACAAAAAACCTGTAAAATTAAAAATATGTAAAAAAAAAACAGTCCAGATATTAATTTCTCACTTATATACATCTACGCATAAATATACGTCGATTTCGTGTACTATTGTTACACCTTTTGAGTATTTCAACAATCTGGACGGTAAAAGTTCGTCCGCAAGAGGGTTGGCTTCGAACACTGCCGCTCATTTCGCGCCATAAATATATTAAAGCATTGCAACAAATATTAAAGATGATCATAAGGGTTTTAAGGTTTTGAATGTAAATTTTCTGCCTTCGAATCAATTTTCGACGGTTAAGTAATGATAAGATTCTATATTGGGTATAAAATATACAAACCAGACATAATTGAGTACATGTAGACCAAAATCCATTCGTACCATGTATCCATGGAGAATGGTAGTAATATCGCGTAAGGCAACATAAAACTGACCTCAGATGTTTTTAAGTAATGATAGAACATAAGGAAGATAGTAGAAAAATTATACATCATAATAAGAAGCATGTTGAGTATGAAATATGTTTTGATTAGAGCTTTTAAGAATAACAAATCTGCTCTTACAATATCTTTCTTTTCTTCATCATTAATTATATTGTCATAAAGATTTTTGAGACAGCAAACTAAATTGTTAATTTTGTTCCGTTTAGTTGCGATGCAAATTATTTTCAAAATCGATAGAACACCAACAGATAGACACGGAGCTAATTCAGTTAATTCGAGTAAATGTTTAGAAGAAACATTGGCGGCACAGAAATTTATTTCCCCTATCGCCATCAAAAGTACCAATGTCAAAAATATATAAAATCTAACATGAATATTACATTTTCCGAAAGGTATCCCTAACAACCAATAAGAAGTATTAATCTGCGAGAAAAATTCTCCAAACTTTGGTATATCCATTGTCGGCGAAATAATTTATTTTTGCCACGGGGTCTTTAATGTAAAGTGTACGTAGTACTGGCAGGTTTAGACTATTCGACTTACCATCGCCCTATAGGGTTGTGAAAAATAATGATATTTAATTTTATCATAAACTAGCTGTTGCTTGCGACTTCGTCCATGTGAAATTAAAAATGGTATAACACGACCTATGCTATTCACTGATAACGTACCATTTTAATGGTGGGGTGCGAGGGTCGGAAACCTCCACGATGGGCCGCCGCTT